CAAATAAAGTACAGTATACTTGGTATATAAAACCATAGATGATTGTTGACATACCAGTGGGGAGGTTTGCACATATCCTGGCTCAAATCGCAAATTACCTTTGAATATCATCAGTTTATTGAGAGGAATATTGGGTTTAGTCCAGTACTTTCCATTGGAAAACCACATATTCCCCGTGAAGGTATTTAACAGTTGTTATCCATATATGATATGTGATATTGTCGGTGGTCTTTTGATTTATGAAATTACCTTGGAAATCAAGATATATTTGTTATTCTAATGTTTCCTTAAATATCTACAACGGGTGTCGACAAGGGAAAGATGTCACAAGCGGAGGATATTCTTACCATTCCCATAGCAGCTGAGATCAACTCCAGATCTGTATTGGGTTCGTGTTGCTCAGTTTTTTCAGTGTTTTGTGGACTTGTGGTCTTTTTTGTCGTCTCTCGTTTTTTTTTAATGGCGCTTTCAGTTTTTAGTTGTCAGATAACAGGAGTTACATAAGATACTGGACAGTTCAACAGGCCACGCCAACCTTAAAGACCAAAAAATAAAAACCCCGATAGCTTAACTTGGTGCAGACAGTAAATGTGCTGGGTTATACCAGTTTCACGTGCGCCCCCCGTTTTTGCCTATCTAGACCATGGATAATTTTCTCGTTGGTTATAATACTACATCTCCCTACTTTTATATTATATTATATGCATAGCAAATCCCATACCGAGAAAAACAACACAATGGAATCCACTAAAAAGTAGGAGATAAGCTATTACTTATAAGCGACAGAAGGTAGAAATTCAGGTGGTGGTCTGAAAAAGGGACTGTGCCCCATTTTTGAACCACCTTTTATTTCACCTCATATTTTCTCCTCTTATTTGTTTTCAGACCGACGACCTTGTCTATCAAATCAGTTTTTGTGTAAGAGTAAAGATATGTGTATACCTGAACCTTGGAGATGTGATGGAAGAAACCAATGTGGTAATAATGAAGATGAAAAAAATTGCGTACGTAAGTATGAAAATAGATGTACTTTTAGCTTGTGAAAGCAGGAGACAATTGTAGAAGAGGTCAATAAATACTGCCTTTTCTGAAGACTTACTTTGTTACCATGGAGGATGACTATCTTCCAAAACAATGGTCAAGAACTAATTGTAAATTAGTTCGTTATCATGTCCTATGTATCAAGCAATATTACCAGAAGAAGAAAAAATATATTGGTAAATAGTACAAAGTTAAATTTAGGATGAAAAAGTTAGACCAGAGAAAGTTAAAGTAAAGTTGAAGTGATTTTAACAGACTACTCATTATTGAACAATTATTTTCCAAACTTAGTTAGGACCATAACCAGATTCGATAGATAGAATAAAGCAAGTGACAATCATATGATTACACAACAAAATTCTGTCAGCTGTTTAGCAAAATGGAGTTTTAGGATTACAAAACGTCTTTAAAACACTTGTATGAAGCGTGATATTTTGGTATTTGATTTCATTATAGCCGCCAAGTATTTGTGGACCTTTTAACTTACAATAGATAATTTTGGAGATAATGAAGAGTCACCAAGTACATAAATTTAATTTGATGATATAAATGCTGAATATTATGTCTAATAAGACACAATGATCAATACACAATTCAAATAATAAGTCCTATTTAATATTTTTGCACCAATCGTATTATTAAAAATGACTGTGTTACATGCTGTTAAGGATATAAGGATAGTGATACTCTTCACAACTTGCCTATAAGAAGAAGAATAAAATATTAAACTTTAAAGAAAATTAAACATTAGAATTTTTGTTTAATTAAAAAGTACAGGTTTCTGTTCCATTTGATACCTTTTATGGACCAGCAAAGATTTAATCTCTTAGACCTGACTGAGAACTGAATGAATTCTAATCCAGTTTTGAGTGGGCTTACATTCATGTTGCTCAAGCTTGACTTTTTGTGTACAATTGATAATATGGTTTGGTTTTTTAACCATAGTCGTTTTTCTGTTTACGGTTTCACATTACTCTTTGGTTTATTCAACCGAGTATTATCACTAAAATTAACTTTTCCTTTGTAATAAAGATATATTTCGTTAGATATATATTATTTTATAATTCCTGTTATTTTTTTGCATTATGAAAATTAAACCATACTTACTCAGTAATCTTAATAATATGCATGAATTATCCATGGAAACATTTAAGAACCTCACAAAAGTATAATTTGAATTCTGTATCATGATTTAAACAAAAATCTTGATCACGGATGAAAATCGTTACAACGAATACTATTATTCGTTAATACGGATTAAACTCGTGAGGAATTAGTTGTCACAGATTTCAGGAATTCGTTTTCGGGGAATAATTTCCTTATCACAGATTGCTTCAATTCGTGATAACCGATTAAATTCGTTGCCGTGAATTGTATAAGTTGTTAGAACACATTATATTCGTTTTCAATGATTAAATAATTTTTTAGAACAACTTATACGTGCTAACTAATTCGTGCTGTGTGGATGCTGTAGAATGTGTCCCCGTGCTTGTAGTGTATGCCCTTATATTTTACAGTTATGGGGTTTTTTGCTTGTGAGAAAGCTGTTCCACTTCATTTGAAAGTTGGTGGATAGTTGTCTCATTGGCGATCATACTACATCTCCTTATTTTTTTATTATAATTCGTTATCGATTTTTAAATAATCTGTGATAACAAATTAGTTGAATTAATATGATTATCGGATTAAATCGGTTGTAACAAATTCCAAAATTTGTATGATAACGATTTCTCAAATTCGTGATAATGAATTTAATCTGTTATCACAAATTATAAAAATCTGTGATAATTATACCCAAAAATTCATATACCGAATATATACATAAATAACGAATTATACTTTGATCAGCTCTTCAACTGTTATATAAGTTTTGGTTTTTCAAATAGTTTGGTCTCGAGCATCACTGATGAGAAATTTATTGCCGAAATATGCATCTGGTGCAGTAAAATTGGTACCGTTAATGTAAAACTAGCACTGGGTCGATACCTCTGCTGGTAGAATTTAAGTCCCCGAGGGTATAACCAGCCAAGTAGCCAGCACTTCGGTACTGGCATGAAAATACAGATAATGTTTGATTGAAATTTGCTGTTATAAAATTTTGAAAATTATTTTTAAGATAAAGGAATGTATCTCCCTCATTCAAAGCTCTTATTCCTTGTCAGGATTTGGCTATAATTTAGGTCTTTTGGTTTGATCAGCTCTTCAACGTTCATATAAGTTTTGGTCTTTCAAATAGTTTGGCCTCGAGTATCACTGAAGAGAAATTTATTGACGAAATGCGAATCTGGTGTAGTGAAATTGGAACCGTTAATGTTGTTGATACATTCGGTGATGACGATTTTTATCCGCGATCACGAATTTAAAAGAATTTTTTTGAGTTCCTAAATGGGCTTCCGTATTTACCAAACAATATAGGAATCCATAACAGAATAAATATACGAGTGATATTTAAATGTTACAGCACATAACGATTTCCCTTCTGTGAAAACCCAAGTTCGTCTTGTTGGTAAACTGCCATTTTCCGGAAGATTAGAAGTCCAATATGCTAAAGTTTGGGGAACAGTTTGTGATGATGGGTTTAGAAGAAGATCAGCAAACGTTGTGTGTAGACAACTGGGTTTTCTGTAAGTAAATTGTCTACTTTGTTCTAACAAAGGTCTGTAGAATAATGTTTTTTTGTAAATCTTATTTCAAAGAATACATACTAATAATATTTCTTAATGTTACAATGCAAAAGCATTTACCGTATACGATAAGTACAAGAGCATTGTATGTCTTAACTTCATAAGAGCTCAGCATCTAAATTATACATAATGTACAAGGACATTGTTTTTCTAAACTTCACAAGAACTTAGTTTTGACATTATATGATAATGTTAAAGGTGAATTAGGCCGTCAGTTTTCTCCATTGAATTGTTTCATATTTTTCATGTCGGGGCTTTTATAGCCGACTATACGGTATGGGTTTTTCTCATTATTGAAGGCCGTAAGGTTGCCTGTATGAATTGCTTACATCCACTTTATTTGAACTTTGGTGGATAGTTGTCTCATTGGCAATCATACCACATCTCCTTATTTTCATAAAGATATTGTATGTTTAAAGTTCACAAGAACTCAGCATCTAAATTATGCGATAAAGTACAAGGACATTGTATGTCTAAACTTCATAAGAACCCAACGAGACACCTCCTGATAGATATATAAAATAAAATACTTGCAGATATTTATACAATGTATCTATGCAAACAATCCAGATTTAAAAAAAATATACCTATGAAATGTACCCACTTTAACTCAATCTTTCTAAATCCAACTTTGATAGTAACTAATGTCCATTTTTAGATCTTGAAATCACATCTTTAAGGGTTTTTTCATACTGAAATTTTTGATAAACGAGACTCCTTTTTCTTTCCTATTGTTTATTTTCCTTTCCTTGAAGAGGATGTTCTGATGGTCCATTAATCAGCAACTGTAAGTATTTGGTATATTTTTCATTGGATGTTTTACATATATAAATCATCCGTTTTCAGTCCATTGATCGAGATCAAAACCGAGGGGGGTTTTACTCTAAAAAATGTAATCCCATCACATGTGCAATTGCCTAATTTAAGTCAGGAACCACGTCAGTGATTATATTTTGTCGTGTTTAAAGTCTTTGTCATTTAGTGATGTGGACTGATCTTTGATATTTCTGGAGGAATTCATTCACAACTTGCTTTGACTTACGCCAATTTAGAGTTTGATATAGTATATAGACATCTTTCTATTGTCCATATTTATTCATGTATGTATCAGAAAATAACAAAATGTCTTTGATTGGTTAAATAATATTTCTCTGACCTATTACAGAATATTGTTTTATTCAAACATGCCCCATATCTTTCCTATATATTATACACTGACTTTTGACTTTTTGACTTTGTTTTACATATCTTTTATATATTCAAATTTAGCTCAGCTATGCATAGTCATCGAAATCTTTCCAAGATGAGAACTGGACAAATTTGGATGGATAATGTCAAATGTAACGGAAGTGAACAATCGATATTTGATTGTATCGGAAATCCGTAAGTATCTGATATTTCTGGAATAAAATTTACTCGTTTTCACCTCGGTGAAATGTCACCTCTACATTATAATCCTTCCCGCAAGTATGCCCTTGAAGAGTAAGCAATTCCTATTCTACCGATTGCCTTAGAAAGGTAAGCAGTTTCTGTTCCATAAGTTGCGCTGGAAAGGAAAGGTAAGCAGTTCCTGTTCCATAAGATGCTCTGGGAGGGTAAGCAGTTCCTGTTGCACAAGTTGCTCTGGAAGGGTAAGCAGTTCCTGTTGCACAAGTTGTCCTGGAAGAGTAGACAATTCCTGTTCCACAAGATGCTCTGGAAGGGTAATCAGTTTCTTTTCCACAAGTTTCTATGGAAAGGTAAGTAGTTCCTGTTGCACAAGTTGCTCTGGAAGGGTACGATTTAACCTTTCCACAAGTATGCCCTGGAAGTGTAAGCAGTTCCTGTTGCACAAGTTGCTCTGGAAGTGTAAGCAGTTACTGTTGCACAAGTTGCTCTGGAAGGGTACGCTTTAACTGTTCCACAAGTATGCCCTGGAAGGGTAAGCAGTTCCTGTTGCGCAAGTTGCTCTGGAGGGTAAGCAATTCCTGTTGTACAAGTTGCTCTGGAAGTGTAAGCAGTTACTGTTGCACAAGTTGCTCTGGAAGGGTACGCTTTAACTGTTCCACAAGTATGCCCTGGAAGGGTAAGCAGTTCCTGTTGCGCAAGTTGCTCTGGAGGGTAAGCAATTCCTGTTGTACAAGTTGCTGTGGAAGGGTATGCAGTTCCTGTTGTACAAGTTGCTCTGGAAGGGTAAGTAGTTCTTGTTGCACAAGTTGACCTGGAAGTGTAAGCAGTTCCTTTTGCACAAGTTGCTCTGGAAGGGTAAGCAATTCCTGTTGCACAAGTTGTTCTGGAAGGGTAAGCAGATCCTGTTCCACATTATGCTCTGGAAGGGTAAGCAGTTCCTGTTGCACAAGTTGCTCTAGAAGGGTAAGCAGTTCCTGTTGCACAAGATGCTCTGGAAGTGTAAGCAGATCCTGTTCCACAAGTTGCTCTGGAAGGGGTAGCAGTTCCTGTTCCATAAGTTGCTCGGGAAGGGTAAGCAGTTCCTGTTCCATAAGTTGCATGGGAAGGGTAAGCAGTTCCTGTTCCATAAGATGCTCTCGGAGGGTAATCAGTTGCTGTTCCATAAGGTGCTCTGGAAGGGTAAGCAGTTCCTGTTCCACAAGTTGCTCTGGAAGGGTTAGCAGTTCCTGTTCCATAAGTTGCTCGGGAAGGGTAAGCAGTTTCTGTTCCACAAGTTGCTCTGGAAGGGTAAGCAGTTCCTGTTCCACAAGTTGCTCCGGAAGGGTAAACAGTGCCTGTTCCACAAGTTGCTCTGGAAGGGTAAGCAGTGCCTGTTCCTGTTCCACAAGTTGCTCTGGAAGGGTAAGCAGTGCCTGTTCCTGTTCCACAAGTTGCACCTGTTGTGTTGCTCACGACAAGTATAAAAAGTAAAAAGTTGCACAAGTTATCAGAAAATAGGACAAGATTGTATCTACGACAAACGAAACATACAGAGTGATCTAATACATTTAACAGTGCATAATGTACGAACAATGTCTAGTCTGATGCGCGGAAAGAAATAAATCCTAGTGCGTATTTCGAAATCGCTCCATCTTTGAACGTTGAAGTTGTAATTCAGATACAGTTATTTAGAGGGATCGTTCGTGAACTATTTATTGAAAGGCTGATTTTTAACCCTGCCCCTTGTTTTCTAATGGCAGTGAAATTTTTTTACCCTTCTCCCATTCCACATACATTTCTGATCTTAACGACTGATATTTCACTATCCTTTATCTTCATGAATAATGTACGAAATATTTGGCGTTGGAAGATGAGCAATCACTCAATCAAATGACTTCAGTTCTTAAGCTGAGGCTGGAAACTTTTGACGAAACATCAGAAAAGTCTAGTTTAAAAGTCACAATTTACAGTGCTAATTTAAATAATGTACTGAATCGTCTTTAGTTTTAATATTTCATCGTTTAGGGTCGTTTAGGGAATATGGTATTGATAGCAGATCTCTGTTAAATTATTTATTTATAACTTTGTAGAGTCGGCGTAATTTAAGTCTTTGACAAATTGTATAGACACTTGTCTATATTGTTGAAGGTTTAATGTTGACCTCTTTGTGTCTCTCTCTGATTTTCATGTCAAATGGCGAAGAGAGAATGCAATTTATTGTCTAAAAATGTTTGAATCGACATTTTCAGATTTGGAATCAATGACTGCGTGCACAAGGAAGATGTGTGGATTACTTGTCAGCCAGGTACACATTTTTCTACTGTATAAGAAATCTATTTTAAGTATAGCTACCATCAAAATATTGATATTGTTGGAAAAAAAACATGATAAACATAACTAATAATATGTGCAGTAGTCTAATGCATGTTTCATTAACATTTGTTTTACAGATATCATCGTGCTATGTAATTCTGCACGCAATTGAACTCTTCGGTGACTTTTTGTAAAACAAACAATAAATTGACGGTCCACAATAAGTCCTAGCATTTATTTCCATTGGCAATCAAATATACTTCCAATAGTCATAGTTTGGATTTAAAAAAAAAATCATGGTTTTGAGCGCTCCTGGTAGAGAATAAAGCAGAAAATTCAACATGCATCACTTCGATCATATTCATGTTATCCTTTTCAGACATACGAATTCATTTTTTGCTATTTGGTTCGTCTTGAATGTGGATTACATATATGCTACACTGTACACTTGAATAAAAACAATCAAACGTGAAATACAGTTAGGAACAGGCAAACCGTTTTGAACATATTATGTACCATCTTAATGTAATAATTTCATATTAAGAAAGGCAAAAGTATAAAGCAAGGTCTTACTATAGGGAATCTTTAGTCTTCTACACATTGTCATTCTCAAAAATATTTATTATTACAAAATCTTATATATTATGTTATTTGAAAAATATTAATAACATTTTTTATCAGCAATAATAATTACTGACTTTTTGACCATTTAATGTAAATCAGATAAAATTTGCTGATGAATATCCTTTGAAGGTTGCGGGTTTCAATTTTTCCCAATACTAGAAAGAAGTTATCGGATAGTTGGAGGGCAGGCAGTTACAAAAGGAAGCTGGCCTTGGCAAGCGTCGATTTTGTTAACTCTACCTACAGGGATAGAAGAACCTTTTTGTGGTGGAACATTGATAGAAAGTCAGTGGGTTCTGACAGCAGCACACTGCTTCGACAGGTATACATGTATTACTATAAATAAAATCATCATAGATACCAGGATTGAAATTGTGTACGCCAGACGCGCGTTTCATCTACAAAAGACTCACCAGTGACGCTCGAATGAAAAAAAGTTAAAAAGGGTAAATTAAGTACGAAGTTCAAAAGTATTGAGGACCCAAAATTGCGAAAGGTTTTGCAAAATACAGCTAAGGTAATCTATTACTCGCGTAGACAAATCCATAGATTTTCGAAAAATTCAAAGTTTTGTTAACAGTTAATTTATAATTATGACCATATCAATGATGATTCATTTCAACACAGAACGGCTGACAACTAAAAGCAAGATAAAAAATATAAAGAAAATACAAAGGATGCAATGAAAAGCTACGATGACAGAGAACACAAAGATAGAAAAAAAAAGATATAGATCTAAAGATTGAGCAACACAAACCCCACTTAATTATCATGACGCTCCAGATTACAGGTTTGGGAAACCAGATATATTATACGTTAACAATATGAGCATAAAAAAGGACATAAACAGAACAACCACAACCCTTAATCTGAAGAAAGTTGCAATCTAGATTATGGCTCAATAGCGATATCACGTAAATAAAAATGTTAAGTCAAATCTAAATAATGTAAATACAGAATAATGGCTGTTGGAGAGATACTATTATTGGGGGCTGACAGTCAACCATCAGCGGTACCGACTCATTTATTGTAATATATAAGAAAATGTTATAGCTTTTAGTGGGCAAGTTATGTGTTCCTAAAAACATTCTCAGGGTTTATTATTAAATTCCTACTCCAAGAGTGACACCAGTCGAGTTACACATGTTAAAATTCTAAGTCATATTCGATGATAAGCTTTCATATATCATTATATGCGTTGTGTCCAACCTCAATCATCGGTACATCTTAATTATCTCACCAAAATTACTTGACCAAATACAAAAGTTAAAAAAAAAAGAAGAAAATTCGAAAAGTTATTTTTTAAGACGAAAGAACATGGCCGATGAAAACTCTACAGACATTGATAAATAGCAAACAAACAAACAAACACAAAAAACAAATGATATCCGATGTAAAAAAGCGATGATAAGTTGTATTTGGTGATTAGTCATGCTGTATGAAAGGAGGAAAAGTTCACAATAACAAATAAAAAGTAATTAGCATAATTCAAAAAGTTATTAATATGTAAAGAAAAAGGAAAAGTAAATTCTGGTGTGATTTTAACTGAACTATATGACTAACAAGTTAGATCAGTTTTCACTTTTATTGTAGGTTAAAAGATGTGTCGAGTGTCCGTGTCAGACTGGGTGACTTTAATAAGGATGTTCACGAAAGTCAAGAACAGGAATTTAGCATCATGCAGCTAATTAAACACAACTGGTACAGAATTGGAAGACATCCAGCTGATATAGCACTCATTAAGTTGGATAGACCAGCCGTGACAACTAGATACGTGCAGAATATTTGTTTACCAGGTACAGACACACGTCCATTCAATGGTAGCGACTTCTGTTATGTGAGTGGATGGGGAGATACTAGAGGTACGTATCAGATCATATTTCTGTTTGTCTCTGTATGTCACAGTTTCTGTGTAAATCACCGATTTCATTTTATATAATAATATCCAGTGAATATTTTTGTATTCGTTTATAATAATTAAATCTCATCTAAATGTTGGCCAGGAATCAATTTAAACTTCTTGTAATAAGAGATAGTTCCTTGATAGAATTTTTATTTTAGGTACAGGCAATAAAAGTATAATGCAGCAAGTAAGAGTGCCAATATTTTCATATACTGATTGTCGAAGTAAATATGGGACAGACTTGCCCCCCGGTATGATATGTGCTGGATACGAAATGGGAGGAAAAGATGCATGTCAGGTAGGAGGAAGAAAAGAGTTTTTTTAATTACTGAAGATCAAAATTAATATGCAAGAAATTAATTGATCAAGGCAAACTTTAAAAAAGGTGAGAAGATACCATGGTGGCTTAAAATATCTTAAAAACATACAACAGTATGTCTGCAAGAAACATAGATGAACAGACAAACAACAGTCAACATAACATTGCAAAAAAACTAGATTGAACGACACATACTACCAGGGTCAGACTCGGGTGCTCCATCCATTGCTCATGCTTGTGGCGTATGGTACCCCCGTTAAAATCCAGAAACGAAATGCTAGACAGCTGGCAGAACAAAGTCGTAAAAGTTATAATTAACTCTAAAATGAACTTTCCAAAATGCTTTGTTTTATCGGAGTTAGGATCGGAATCTTTAACAAAATATATTGACTGTCAAATGATCACATATTTTCTAGTTTAGATTCTTTACCTGGTACAAGATATTGCAAAATGATATGTAAAGAACTTAAATTATCCAAAAAATAATATTTTAATCATATTAACCACATATTTCACCTGTCTTCCATTGAATGCTATGTTATTCCGCATGCAATTGAAAGATAGTGATACATGTCAAACATGTTGTATTGAAGAATCTGATTTGCATGTATTGTTGGAATGCCAGGCATATAATGATATTCGAGAACGTTTCTTTTCTGATTTGCACGATTTCCTTCTAAATGCAGGAACCGGCGTGTTTTTCTCAGAGTTCCCTCGTTTTAATAAACTTAAATAAATCATCGGCGACATAGCCTTTTTGTTCGCTGATGATATCGGAAAAAAGGTTGATGCAATGGGCAAAAAATATCTGACCTCAGTCATTAAAGCTCGCAATGAGTTGTTGCATGTTAATGTCTAAAATAACTTATATGTATGAAAGTTTGAAAGTGTGCCAAATTAATGTGAATGTGTATTTTAAGAAAAAGTCTAAATATATGTGTAATCTTTTAATAATATTCAAGATATTGCACTGCACTTTTACGGTTTCTTTTATCCTTTTTTATAAATGTTCATTGTCAAAGGTTGGAATTTAAAAGAAATACTTTTACGATTATTTTGACATTTTTAATTTTATAACGATGTGATTTTTTACGTACACTGTATATATTGTACAGTTTGTATGACGCAAACACTTATACCCCGCTGGTGTTTGCCCCCGATGTAAAGGGGTAGTTTCTCAATATATATATATATACCAAATTTATAAACCAGCGGTACATATAAATTCTGTAACCTTAATAAAAACACAAGAAGCGGTTGCAATGATGACAAAATATTGTTTTGCTTATTTCATTAAATTTCTATTGTAGGGAGATTCCGGAGGACCATTAATGTGTAGACGAAATAATCAGTGGACAATAGCAGGGGTTGTATCCTGGGGAGATGGATGTGGCCGTATGAATAAGCCGGGTGTTTATACTGAAGTATCAACTTACTTAAAATGGATACTCAATATTCTCCACCCTCCTCCAACAACTTCGGTCATATCACAGGCATTTGGATGAATAAAAAAGACGAAGAAACAAAAGAACTGTTCGCAGAAAAAGAACTTTTTATTTATATATGGTCCATCAAAATAACACACATCCCAACCAATATATATGTATTCCAACGCATAAAATGTTATTATCAATTACACTTTTTGTAAAATTCTTAAGACATATTTTAAATTCTTATCTTTGGAATACTTTTTAAGTACCGAGTATATCATCAAATGGAGATATAACAGTGTATACACATTTTATTAATACATCTATGTTTGTAAATAATGACATTCAGTTTCATAGTCAAAAAAATATTGATGTCATTTGGTAGTGTTAAACATATTTTTCTGTCAATTGGGGAAAAAAAAATCCGCTTCAGAAAATATTACCATTTAATCCTGACTGATAACAACACAACTGTACAATCGTAGTGTCACTTTTGATGTGTTTGTTTTAACACCTACTGCAGAATGTCTTGTGACATTCAAATCTGTATTTCATTGTATGAATCTCATAACTGATTATGTTTTACTCTATTTTTGATATGACAATAAAAAAGTTAAAAGGTAGTTGTTGCTATTAAATAAGTTATCATATACTTTTATCAAAGTAAAATAGCGTAATCATTTCCTAGTCAGGAGGCGAATTTCCGTATATATCGACAACAAAAATGTAGAACAACACCACCTAAGGAGATTACTGGCAAATTTGACGAGGTCAGAATATTTATTTTCAACTTAAAACTGGCCGGATTATTTTTTTGGGATCAATTTATTTTTCTTTATTTAGTATCCCCCTGTTTCTTAAGCGGGTGGTGTATAGTTATGAGGAAGTCCGTCCGTCCGTCTGTTCGTCCTTCTGTCCTAATTTTGTATCCGCACTTGTTCCTGAACCGCTTGACTAAAATTTTGTGTAACTTTTACGTAATCTTACTCGCTTAATGACCTTTTGCATCTCTTCATCTGAATGATTTTTGGGGTGAACTTTGGGATGAACTGGATTTCGTCCTATCGGAACAAATGTGTATAGGCTTCTCCTCCTAAACCTCTAATCATTATTTAAAAATGTAAACAACAGTAGTTTACCGATGTTAAAATCTCATCAATTGACTGAGAAGATACAAAACAAGGTAACAAACAAAACCTGATGGAATAGCACGAACTCCAATACGTTAAAGAACGGAGGCGTCGACAGTCATGACCATAGAACAAACCATTGATCATGTAGTATAGATGTTATTCCATCACCTTTGAACATTTGTTAGGCAAATTACTTTTTTAGCCAAATTACTTATGTGACATGAACGTATTCATTGATTAAATTGAGAATGGAAACGGGGAATGTGTCAAAGAGACAACAACCCGACCAAAGAGCAGAAAACAGCACAAGGCCACCAATACTTGCACACAATTAGAAACACGTCTAAATATCTGATGCTACCATGGATCCTCTCAGATCCTCAAACACCAATATACTATAGTATCTGATGCTACTACAGATCCTCTCAGACCCTCTAACACTAATATTTTCATCAAACGATTTGTCTTCAGTATTTTTCATTTAAAACATTTCAACATCATACACATCAAAATTTAAGAACTATTTTTTACACTTATAAAATAAGGAGATACATATGTAGAATGATTGCCATGAAACAACTATCAACAAAGATATCGAATATATACATATGTACGGGTCTTCTCTAGCAAGGAGCAAAGGCGCTCCGCTCTATTCAAACCTTTGGACGTTTTAAATGGCTACAAATTAGCCATATGTTACATGACATTGTACATGTTCAGATACTAATAACGTATACATTCTGATGACAATTATTCATATCTTGTAGAACCTGATCGCCCCAATAATTTCTTAATTCGTACACTTTTGCCAATCGTATCAAAACAAGTTATTTCGCCATCGATTATCATTAAACAGAACCAGTTTAAACAGAAAATGAGAAAAATGCGGTAATTTGAGTTTGCAGTCAAACACATACAAAAATGTAAGCATTGATAACATAATGTTGAAACAGAGCAACTAAAATCTGATGTCAGAACCCCAGTTTAAAAAAAAATGTAATTCATAAACTGCAAATTACAATCAAAATGTATCATTTTAATCATGATCAGTGTCTATTAAGCAGATTATACATTTGGGGACTGACAGTACACAATCATTGGTTAAGACCTAGACGTAGTACAATGAACGTGTGACATCAAGTTCAGTGTGCACGATATGTGTGTTCTCTCTTTCAAAAGCTATATATAGACCATCACTGAACATCAGTAATAGGAAACCTTCAAGAACAGAAAAACTGCAGTTCAGTTATTGACTGCCGCTTTATTTATTGTGCATATCTTAGGTTTCTCATTTATGCTGTGTGAAAGCCATATAAAGTTTCCCAATGATTCAGATGCATGCTCTCTACATCTCAAATACTCTTCTTATGTGCACTACTTCACTTTTCCTCTTTTGGTCAGTTAAAATAATGAGATGTGGTATGATTGCAAATTAGACAACTATCCAATAGAGTCCAAAATGAAGCAGAATTAAGCAACTACTTGTATAGGTCAACGACCTTCATTAATGAGCAAAAACCATACTGTATAATCAGCTATAAAAGGCTCCGACATGACAAAATGCGAAACAATTGCAAAAATAATATCAAAAGCCTGATTTATTACAAAACAATAATCGGAAAACAATTATGACAGACAGTATGTTCATTGATATTGCAATGTAGGCCGCCTGAATTACTGGTGCTATTCATGCTAAATTTCATGTCAATTTTCGGGGTAGTCTAAGTATTGCATTGTTTCTGTATTTTGCACAGTTTGGTTAATATGATGAACGCATCTATACCATCGAACTTGAAATAAAGGATACAACAGATACAGTTAAGCCTGGCTCATATCTTGACTTACATCTAGAAATTGACAATGAGGGTCGATTGAGATCAAAACTTTACGACAAAAGAGATGATTTTAGCTTCCCAATTGTGAACTTTACATTTCGGTGTAGCAACATTTCAATCTCCCAGTTGATATGATATTCCAGAGCTTGCATTTCCTATCATAATTTTCCTGATAGAGGTTACAAGGAAGCTATTAAATCAAGGGTTCCAAGTGGTGAAGTTGAAGTCATCACTTCGTTAATTTTACGGACGCAATCACGAGTTGGTTGACCGTTATGGAAAATATGTTTCACAGATGACGACGGATATGTTCCAATTGTCGTTACCACAATCCCGTGTTTTTTTCAAAGAATGTGACATCATCAAATTAGATTTTACTTACATGAGCAACACGACGAGTCCAACATGTGGAGCAGGATCGTCTCACCCTTCCGGAGCACATGAGAAAGGCTGAGATAACTCCCCGGTTTTTGGTGGCGTTCGTGTTGCATAGTCTTTAGCTTTCTATGTTGTGTTTGGATACTGTTGTTCTTTCTTTGATCGTTTTGTTTTTTTCCACGGTGTTGTCACTTTGTTATCAACTTATGAGTTTTGGATATCCCATTTGATATCTTCCGTCTCTATTTTATACGAGATTGTTGGGGAAATTCTGACAAAATCTAAGATTTCTGTGTCCGTAATAGTTTTGAATATTTGTTGTTATTTCCCTGCATGTGTGTGCTTCAGTGCAGATTCTCGACATCTAGACAAAACTAGAGGCTCTAAAGAGCCTGTGTCGCTCACATTGGTTTATGCACATATTCAACAAAGGACACTTTCCAACATTGTAGACAAAAATCTCTATTTTGTTAATCTTGTATTGCTGATTATTTAGTCTGTTTAGTTTTTCTCTATCTTCTTTAGTTTTTGCACAAAACATAAAGGAGGGTAAAAAAAATCCTCATTTAAGGGCAATCACTCCTATAAAGAGTGACAGTTTACTAACTTTATCGGCAAAATTTGACTTGCTATTAGATCTTGCCTTGTTGATCATTTTGTGATTTAAAGTGTCTATTTATCTATTATAATTTTTATCATATAAGGCAAAATGCAAAAAAAAATGGTAAAAATCGTCATTGAAGAGCAATAACTCCAATAAGGAGTCGTTGGTCGGTTTCCTCTATTTGTCTTAACTGTAGATCTTGTCTTGCTGGTCATTTTTTGCTTATTTAAGTTTCTATCTATCTATTATCATTTTTAAGATATAGGAGAAAAACGCAAAAAAAAAATATGGTAAAAATCGCCATCAAAGGAAAACAACTCTAATAAGGAGTCGACTGACGATTTTGACCATGTTTCACTAATTTGTAGAACTCGTCTTGCTGGTCATTTTTGCAATGTAAAGTTTCTCTCTATCTATTATAGTTTTCAAGATAATAGGCAAAAAAGAAAAAAAACTTGGCAAAATTTGTCATTTAAGGGCAATAACTCCTATAAAAAGGTCGTCTGACGTATATGAACAATTGGTAGAGCTCAACATTCAGAACATTTATGCTCCTCTCAGATTTTCTCTATTTATAACGGTTTTCAAAATAATAGACAAAACTTGCATTTTACCACTATGCTCCATTTTTAGCTAAGTCGGCCATCTTGGTTGACAAGCGGGGTCATCGGACACATTTTTAAAACTAGATCCCCTAATGTTGATTGTGGCCAAGTTTGGTTTAATTTTGGGCCAGTAGTTTCAGAAGAGAAGATTTTTGTAAAAGTAAACGACGACGGACGACGGACGCCAAGTAATGAGAAAAGCTCACTTAAGGGCCAGGTGAGCTAAAAACGATTAAAACCATGTTAAGGGCATCTTGAACTTGCAGTAAGGCGAGAGCTTTAGATCCGCGTGGAAGGCCTCGCTGTGACTTTGAGATAAACAACAGCACTAGAAAAATGATAATTTCATGTTTTGTCATGTGCATGATGGAATTTTAGTTCATGAATTGATACATTAAATTCATATGTTCAACTCTTATGACAAATCCAAATTCCGCTACCCCAGGAATAGATTACCTTAGCTGTTGGCAAAACCTTTAAATATTTTCGGTCTTCAATGCTCTTCAGCTTCGTATTTTATTTGGTCTTTTTAACTGTTTTAATTCGAGCGCCACTGATGAGTCTTTTGTAGAAGAAAAGCACGTCTGGCGTACAAAATTTTAAACCTGGTATCCATAATTAGTTTATTTCCTGTTTCTGGTGTTGAGCATGTCATTTTGTATGAACGACATCCGGGTTGATGCAACTACTGGTAGACTATGAGTCCCCAATGGAAAAACAGGCCTAGAAGCCAGTGATTTTGTATTGATACTTTAACTTATGGAAAATGTACAGTAAACTAAAAATGTAAGATCATAGGTACCAAAGAGGCAATCAAAAACATTAAGACAAAAAACAATGAATTTTAGGAGAGGACTATCTAAGTTGTGATAACTTGTGTCTGATCCTTTTTGTTATATGTAATAGCAAATAAAATATGTTTAAATGAAAGCAAAAAAGACAACTCCCTGGCCAAAAAAAGAAAAAACAAACAACAGTCCAAAAAAACTAAAAAAAAGCTTGACACAGAAACTTGATTATTGTGCATCACGATTCCATCAGAAACCCGAAGTTTACACAGGTTTTCAA